TCACTCTTAGCAATCTGTATTTAAACCTCTCTGATTTACAACTACACCAAATCACTACACAGCTACAACCAATCCTTAAGTCAAATTCAAACAAATGATTCAAGCATCAAAACAGACCAAAGAAAAGATTCGGGTTGTACTAGTCCAAACAAAGCAGTCATAAACTAACTATTCGACGAAGTTGTTCAAATCGAAGGTCGCTTATAACGCACACTCAAACAAACAGAAGAAAAACCTTGACCAAATAAAAGGTCTTGAAGAAGAAGGAGAACTAATGAACAAGACAAGATTTACAAAAATAACACTTTAAACAAAGATTCAATAATCCGAAAAATAGAATGAACAAAACAAGATTATGAACAACACTTAAAACCAAAAACCATAATAGAAAATAAATCAAATGAACTAAATAATCTTGAAAGAAAAATCTGACACTTGAACGAACCCAAGTCGAACTCGGAGTTGAACTATTGGAGGTCGAACGGACTGTTTTGTGGACGTCAAAAAAGGACGAAGCAGAAGCTGGTCGTTTGGCCTATGGCGGACTAGATAGAGGGACGAGGGTGGTGAGGCGTCGAGGAACAGCAGCGACAGCAGCTGGACTCGCTGCTGCCATGGTCGATAGGGAGCGGCAGCGACAGTGGTCGCTGGTCGACGTGAAGCAATGGGGTGGCTGGTGGGTGTTGGGCAGTGGGGTTTGGTCGACATGAAGAAGTGGGGTGGCTGGTGGGTGTTAGGCAGTGGGGTTTGGTCGACGTGAAGCAGGCGACGGGGGTAAAACTGGTTGTTTGGACTGGTTATGGCTATGGAGGACGAAGCAGTGGTCGTTGGGTGAGGATGGAGGAACCTCAGGCTAGGCTTTTCGTTTTTTTTTTTCGTTTTTCTTCCGTTCAAAATGAAGAAGAAAGTGAACAGTGCCTTCTTCAATTTTTCAGAAATTTTTTCCCCCACGTTCCTTTCCAATTTTTCTCCTTTAAAATCCACCCTCCCTCGTGTGTTTTGTCTTTGTTCAAAGAACATGGACCTTACGTGTGTAGGGGTCTAAGACTTGTGTCCCCCATGCGTGGTGGGGTTCCCCGTGTGTGGTGTTCCGTCCGTGTTCCCCACNGTGACTTTTATTTTTGCAAAACAAACTTAATTAAATACTAAATGAAAATGTGATATATTTTATATTTTTATTANAATTATTACGGGGTAGGTCCGAAAATTAGGCCTAAAAACGAGCAGTTTGAACCCAAATATTATTCTTTGTCCAGACCCGAGAATAGAACACGATATTATTCAATTAATCCTATGCAAGCAAAATAACTACCAAAATAAGACTAACATTTAAAACAAAACTATTTTTAAAATAGCTACAAAGCATAAATAAAACTATTTTTGTCATTTTCGTTTTATATAAAGATAAAATATAAAGTACTATTTTTTGTATTTTTCAAGATTAAAATGGCTACAAAACGTTAATAACTCCTTTTTTTTTGTAATTTTCGGAATTATACAACGATAAAAATATAAAGTACTATTTCTATATTTTTTAAGTTTAAAATGACTACAAAACATTAATAAAACTACATTTTTTATAATTTTCGAAATTATATAAAGTACAAAAATAAGGTACTATTTTTTTTGTATTTTTTCAAGTTTATGAGAAATACATAAGCTAAAATTTACATATATATTTTTTGTAATTTTTCTTTTGCGAAGAAATAAAGTAAAATAGTCAAAATAGCTATATTAGACTCAATTCAAATATTAACGTTTTGTAGCCCTCTTTTTTTTTCTTTTTTTTGATAAAACTAAAATTCTAAATTGAGCTACAAACTAAATTAACTCCAAAAATACTAATTAAACTCCTAACAACAATTATCATACACAATTAAACACCAATTAAAACAAAATTGCATAATTTGACATTAAATGCTAACAATGCAAAATATTCTTATTTTTTGTGACTTTTATTTTTGCAAAACAAACTTAATTAAATACTAAATGAAAATGTGATATATTTTATATTTTTATTAATTAAAACAAATAAACATGCACTCATAAAAATACAAATAATTATACAAAAATACCACAAAATAACAAAAATTGTACACAAAGGAAAATTGTTTTATTTTGAATTTTTGGGAGTAATTCTTTCATAGGGCAAAAATCACGCGCTTACATAGGTGTTTCAAAAAAATTTGATCTTTTACATAAATTGAGACGAACAAGTAATAAATCTAAATTTCTTTTGTGATTGTAGTTTTAGGTCCTATTTCAAATTTTTAGGGATCAAAAGTGCTAGTTTTCTAATTTCAGTTAAATAAGACTAATTGCTTGGCATATTGCATCGCAAGGTGTAAGCCTAGTGATGTGGTAATTTTTTTTGTATTTGAAAGTTATTTCTATACGCTAATATATCCTTTTTGTTCGTTGTACAAGGGTACATATTTATGACGATGAGTTGTTGGTTGAAATTTTGCAATACTCTAGAAAAAGTGAGCGAAAATACTATGATAATTATACTACAAGTGTATATTTATAATTGGTCATACAAGTCAATTTATGTTTTAGTTACGAGGCAATCAATGAAATTACACTCAGTTGCTAACAAAAATTAATGCTAAACAGTGGACGAAAATGCTAACCATGTGTCCCAAAATATCTACTTTGAGCACGAATTATGTAGGAATATTCACCAATATCTTTACTATGTAATGTACATGTGAAAAACTATAAAAACAATAATTCATGTTTCAAACTCTAACCGGAAATTTTTTCGCTTGGAATTCTTATTAACTCTTCACCATACCGATCAAACTTACAAAAAAAAGTTTCTTTTAAAATGCCAAAGAGGGAGGGTTTCTTGAGAACCCCGAGCTTAGTCTTAAATCTTAGGAACCCTCACCCTAAAAAAAATATTGTTCCATTTTATTTAGTTCGCTTACTAGATAGATATCATATTCATTGAATATGATTCATGTTCAAGATGCCTTGATGGTGAAATAGCAAACACAAGAGATTCACAATCTTGTGCTAAAGAGCGTGGATGCTTGAGTCCATTGAGTAGATAAGAGTTAATCAGTAATAAGAAAGTATTCATTTAAATATGTATGAAGTGATAAATACGAAATCTTTTCCAGTTCTTGCATTTTATCAATCATATGAAAAAAATGAAAAAATAAATAAATTTTACCTCATATTAATCTTTTTGTATCCATTTTATACAAAAATTGGATTTGTTATACGGTCTATGTTTGTTTCTCTTCTATTATTCTTTCTCACATTTATGTATTTATTTAGTTATCTACAAGAGCAATTATGAATTGGAAGTTGATTCAAGGCAAGTATTTGAATCTAATATGACAAAGCTTTGAGAAGCTCAATAGGATAGTTTCTTCTTAGTGGATCCCTCTTGTTAGTGTTTAATCCCCATCATTTCGAAAGTAATTTCGATTTCTACATCTATTTCAATGCATAAAATGATGAGTTCTCGTGCACATATACGGTACACGTACTTGAAAACTAGTTATTAGTAATATTCTAACCGAAGCTCCTTATGTAAGGAGTTTGAGTTAAAGGTACACTATCATATTTAATCATTCTTCACATTTAATAAAGAAAGCAATTTTATTTTGCAGCAAATGCACAATATTTTGCCAAGCTTGAAAGGAATTGGTCCTCTGATTTGGTTAGCATCCAAGTTGTAGAGCTTCAGTTTTTCTCAACATGCCGATCTCCTTTAATACTATTTTCATCGTCATATTTTCTTATGAAGTTCTGCGTATCAACAGTATATAACATTAAAATCTAAAAAAATTCAAAAGATAGAAGCTAATTCCTTTAATCCTTCTTTTGAAAATAGCTACAGTTTCACAAAGAAGACGCGCAAGCGGTTGAAAGAAAGTCTATCTGAGAAGCACCGGACTTATTACTGCAAAAAATTGCAAAGAATCTCTAATAAATTATTTCCACTAAAAAGATCAATAACCTAATTAATCACCAACTAATTCTATTTCCCTCCAAAGAACAGCAAGAGGAAATTTAACGAGATTTTACTGTCAATAAATTGTAAAGACTAAGTCTTAATGCAAATTCCTTTTCTTTTCTTTATTTCAAGGAATATTATAAATAATAAATTTGTATAAAACTATAGAAAAACAGCCAAAGAAGTTACTTTGAGGGATCATCAAACTCACATTTTACAACTCTTTTTGTCTGAGTAAAGCTTATGATATGGTAGCTCACATTTAAACCGATCCAATCAAACCATCCTTAAAACTAATTATAGTTTGAAAAAATTAATACAGTTCCTATACCTACCGGACTTTCTGTATTCTATATCTACTTACACTACTAACTATTAATTCTTGATCATTGTCATTGAAATCTTATATAAGGAAAGAGCATCGTGTCATGGACTATAGCTGTTGGATGGAAAAGAATTGAATAACAAGAAACAACTAGCAACTTTTCAACACTTGATTTCAGAAACCACAATTGGCATACAGGAAATATAATTTCAAAGAACTTTATTTGTAAGCATAGGATCTACTACCAACTGCAGCAATAGCCTGCTCTATACATATTCTACACTTTCCTTAATTAAAGCCTAAGTTGCTTCGACACGGCACATAAGTATTCCATAAATTTTTCTCATAATTTAGAGATATTATTATATTTTTATTTTTTAAAATTATTTTTAGCCGAATCCCCACACCCATATCTATAGTAGAATCCGTATCTCCGAATCTTCGAATTTACATCTCGAAGGATCCAACCTTTAGATCCGCACCCGTGTCCAGACAACTTAGATTAAAGCATCTCCATTTTACTTCCCCCTCCCCCCAAACAAGTAATTTCTCATTTTAATGTAATACATATAGCATAACAGAATATGGAGCTAAACCTTGTAATTGTAACATGCATTATATGGATAATTTCAAGAACTGTAATATCTAATGAAAATAATTACCTCATAGGAATGATGGAGAATAAGGCCTTCAATTTCCTTCTTACTTCAAGGTAGAGACATCGTCAACTTCCTCATAATCAACCTTAACCTTGTTATTGTAACATGCATTATCTTGATAATTAGGTAGAGAAGCAGGATCAAGTTCAAAATATTCATCCATCAAACATTCTCTTATAGTTTGTGTCAATTTAAATAAGGGAACTTTGTGAGAAAATCTGTATAATTCACTTGCTGGTATCGCAAATGAGTCAGTCCCACAGTTTCCCCTTTTAAAAATGCTCATAAATCCACTGACTTTTTCCAGATAATGTACCTTTACGCCAACATCATCAACAAAATCATACAATACCTCTACAATCTCATATTTAAACGGTCGACAGTCTCTGTAAACAGCCCAAATCTCCCCTTTCATAGGATATATCAGATAATAATCCTGCATTTCCCTTTTGCATTTCACTTGATGAGAGAATATATAACGATTCGAAATGTCTACAGAGCTCCCGAGTTTAAATCTACCACAACTTATTGCCTGTAAGTCATGATTTGTCCGATCAACAGCCTCTAACCAGACCATTTGTAGCTTAAATTTAGGAGTAAAAACCTTTTTAACTTGGGCGTAAAGTCTAGGCATACCATCTAAATTGTCATAACATGCCCAAATTTGGTCGATGTCAAAATTTCCTTCTTCTTTATCCTTATCAAAATCATGAAATTCTGCGCGAGGACAATACACTTCTAGACTTATGACACCCTTATCGTTGTCTGTGTCCGATTTTGAACCTGAGTTGACATTCCTATCAGGACAGCTTATTTGCTTGCTTGACATGATGTCTCTCTCGTGTATACTTTGGTTAAGATTTTGCTCCTCTTTACTGTATTCAGATGATTTTTCTGCCTTTGACTTTTTCAAGGGATTCTCAGAACAATAAGGCCTGCTGCATCTTTTCATAGTTTTGCTCAAGTCAAGTTCTTTTGGTTTCTGTTAACTGCAGCCTTGTTGCTTCAACTTGTCTTCTTTGATAGCAATCTCCTTAAGCCTTTTGTCAATCACATTCTCAAATTTTTGTTGCTCATATCTCACTTTGGCGAAAATACGTCGAATCAAATTCTCTTTCTCGTCCAATTCCTCCTCTCTGAGATGAAGTTGTTTGACAGCCTCCTCTTGAACGACACTGAATTTGTGCTCCCTTAGTTTCAAGTTTTCAACATATTCTAAAATCTCGGTTTCTTTATCCTCAACTTGTTTGCGCTTCAAGTTTAGTGATTCTCTTATTAATTCAAGTTCCTTTGAGCTCTCACTTACTGATTCTTGAATAGAACACAGATGCTTCTCCCTGGATTCCAGCTCGGCAAAACATTCTTGAAAACATGTTTGGCTCAAATCTAAGTGTTGTTCAAAATCTTTCCACTCTAACAACAATGTTAAAAGTGCTTTTCTGAGGCCACATTTCTTGGATTCAATCACTTGTAAAGCATCAGAAATCCTATTCAACAGAACCATCTTGAATTATCAAATGTGCATAATACTATCAAAATTTTGAGAGAGTAAAGTCAAGAAGAGAGGAAGTAGAATTGATGCTTGTGTTTGGTACTTGTGAAGTACAAAGTCATCTTAGCCCTTAAATTACCTTTGTCATCCAATCAGATCAAACAACATGTGTTCATAAGAGCTGCATGTCCTAAGAGTTCAGTTTCAAAATATTTTACATTCTTAACCTGTGTCCTTGTCATTTTCTCTAATTGTGACTTTTAAGACCTTTTAATTTGTATATTCTTACAATTCAATCATATGAGCGATAAGGTTAAAATCCCACATACCAGCTACTGTGTAAACTAGATATAAGCTTTTGAATTCCCTTGTCATAATTTTTCCCTTTTTTTAAAAAGATTTTCACTTTTTTCCGAAATCAGCATTTGTTCATAAAATTTCTAATTTTCACTTGAAGATGCATTTTGGAATTTTTCAAAAATTTGAAAAACTCCAAAAAGCTGGTTTTCAAAATTCACTCAAATCACTCACAGAACTTCAAAAATAACCCAAAATTATATTCATGTCCAAACACAACTCTAAATTTCAAATACCATTTTCACTTGAAAAATTTTTTCCTCCTATTTTGAAATTTTACAATTCTTATGTCCAAAACGGCACTATAATGTAGTGATAAAGTGGGTTCAAAAATTGCTTTATGTAAATAAGTTTTACGTTCTAGTAATTTTTCTTGAATAAATTCCGGACTAGAGAATAAAATATACTACTTAGTTAGTTTACCTTTTTATGAAGAAAATATGCCAAAAATATAAGTATAGTTACTATCGTTTACATCAAATACAAATAATAATGAATCAGTAATGATTGCAAATCAGGTTTGTTTAAAACATTTTATTAGGAACAATAGCGATTTATATTTTCTGTAGGTTAAGTATCTTCTTATATCGTACTTCTAATATAGTACGACTTTTAGAGAAGTTGGTTGCTTGAGAAGTATACAACAAAGGCAATACTTTTTGCACGCTACATAATGCTCTGTCGTTTGGAACTCTGGAATTGAATAAATTATCAGTTTACTTATATATAACAGCAAAATAAAATACTAGAAATCAACTGAGTTGAAATCAAAGTAAAATAGAATTTAGAGCACAAAGAGAGATATATAGTTCTGTATTGCGTGATAAATTCACATTAAATACAAATCTGCAGAGAGAAGAAAGTTGACTATGAAGAAAGAGGAGCAAACTCGCAAAGGCAATATTAGACTATGCTGTGGGTTTAAATTCAAATGTCATTAAGCACACACGTGCAATAATAATAATAATAATAATAATAATAATAATAATAATAATAATAATAATAATAATATAATAATAATAATAATAATAATAGGGGCACAAAACACAAAGAACTCAACTTTGACTTGGGCATATCTTGTTGGCAAGTTGGCTTTTCTAAATTGATGCCTAAATAGTGGAATTATAGGCCAGAGAGTATATTATATTGCCAAGTGCGTCTAATTCCTCTGCACAAATAAACTACTCCATTTAACAGTCAGATTTTTGTACAGAAAGAGTGTTGATCGCCTATTAACNAAATATACAATTCATACAGAGTCAAAGGACTCCTCTGGCCGTTTATAGACAATTACATTTTGGATTTAACTTATATGCACTAAGCGTTTTCACCAAGAAACAGGGGCAAGTCTGAAATTTAAACCTAATGACTTCAACCTCTAAATTCTTACCACTATACTCATTGCACTTCTAAAATTATAAGTTTAGTGTTTAATATTTACTCTGTGCCTAAAACAACACATTGAACCCATGCTCCAGCCATCTCTGATACGGATAATGGAGGATTTAAAAAAGAACTGGGGAAATGTCCAACGAAGAAATGACAATAAAATATAAATTAAGTGGCACATTAGAACTTTCTGAGAGCCACATATATTTACATGTCAATGCCAGAAATCTACAACTAAAAACAAGTATTCACAAATGGCTCAAGTCGCTATGCATATCCCCTTTCACCGTATATACTGGAGGACCTTGCTTATGTTCCTCATTTTCCGTTTAAGATGGAGATCAGTCTGATACTAGAGTTGAACATCGCGGATGTGGAGAAATGCCTCGGTTCACATCAAATTCTGAAACCAGTGTAATATATTCTCCAGAACATGGTTCAGAAATGATCCCAAGAGGATACTTTGAGCATAGTACATGGTAAGTATACCTTCAACACTCCTTGTTTGAGCTCTGGTATGGAAAAAATTTGTGCTTTTACCGGTTGGTGTTGAAGCAAATCCAGAATTGGTTAGGAGATCAGCATCATTCACCACTTCAGAGTTTTTCGGGCTTTGTGAGAGAAGCTCTTTACAGTGACTTTGTCTGCAAATGTTAATGGAAGTTCCTCGTCAGCCTCCTCTCTTTGATCACACCAGGCCCCTGTATTACTATTATCTTTTGACTTTCCCTCCAAAGGTTCACGGGACGAGTAGGAATCCTCTGGTATATCCCGATACAAGTGTTTCAGAATAAAAAGAGCTGTATCATTATCTCTCCAGTAGTTCCTGAAAAAAAAGTAAATCATTTGAAAAATATCAATTCACAATAGAACAAGAGGAAAATCTTTGCTAACAAAAGCTGCGATAAAGACAAAATTCATTAAACAAACTTCTATGGGTCAGCAAGCATTTTTGACCTGACAATGCCTCGCAACAAAACGATCTGCAACATAGTAAAAATGAACCATAGGAGGGAAGGGTTCAAATCCTAGTAGAGGCAAATAACCCTAGGAGATATTCCCTCATATCCATCTACCCTTGGTCGATAATGATATACTTTTGCTGGTGGGAGGTTGCAGGTACCCGATGGATTAGTTGAGGTACGCATAAATTGCCTAAACACCACCGTTATCCAAAAAATAAAGAGTAAAAACTATACCAAATCGTTTGAAGTAGCAAAACCTAAACTAAAAAAGCTTATTATATGGTCAAGTTTGATTCAGCTTTCTTAAAAACCCTCCCCATCTATGTAGAAGAATGCAACAAATGGCATTTGAAAATATGAGACTATTAACAGAGTTGTCCAAGGATGTCTGAGAGGTCGGCAACAATGTAAGTATACCAAGCTTGTTCGAAAGAACTGTTGGTTATGACTCAAGAAGCTTCAACAATCTCCTAAAGGAATCCGAAGCAAGAAAATCATACAGGATAGGCAACATGAGACCACATTCTCCATGGTCCACAAACAAGGGACAATAAGAAGAAAAGCCCACATACATGCTACTAGAATATGTCAGGGTTCATTATACACAGAAAGTCAAATGTACGTTTTCTGATTAGCTAACTGCTCAATTAAGTAGGCGTTTGGAAATACATTATTTGCAAATATTATTTGTAATATTCAAATATTATTTGCAAACCAATGTTCGTTTTACAATTTTGTCCATATCTACTTGAAATAGAGCATTTGAAGTTGAAAATTTGATGAGTATTTTAAGTGAAATAATGGTTTTCACTGAGAAAACTCATTCTTATTCCAAGTGAAATTCATGTCTGAACACAAGTCAACTTTCGTTATACAATGACTTACTTTCAGGTTTGCAAACTAAACAAATTCAAGGGAAAACCATTTTAAATATGCTTTTTTTTTTTTCGAAGATCTAAAAATGATGAAAAATCCAATTTCTAGATCCACACCCGTGTCGGGTGCCCACACCCATATCCGAGTAACTAGTCAAGAACAGTAGGTAACGAAAATGACAAGGAAGAAAAAGCTTTTAGGATAAATTGACCAAACTTTTGCTCAATCGAGCTCTATGATTGACAGGGATGGTTGACTTAAACATGCATTCCAGCCAACAACGAAACCATCCTGAACAAATTTTGCTTCCAAAAAGTTCGATTGACACAGCCACAAAGCAGATAAATTCATATTTTTTGCTTTGAGAGCTTTAATTGACGAGTCTATCAGGGTTCCCTATTGCATAAGAAAACTATATTGAGTTACAGAAAATGTCCACCATGGCAAGCAAAGATTTGAAAGAGTTCCTTAATGAGAAGTACTGGAAATTCCTAGGGTAAGGACCTTAAGTAGTGGAGCAAATTGACACTGGTTGAACTGCCATAACCATTAAGCTCTTCTGTCCCTAATACTTAATTCAGACTCCTCTAGAGCTGTTGTCATTTTGCATATTATACAAGTTTTAAAATATGAAAAGACACTATGAACATAGAGAAGATTATTTCTCACTAAAACACTTTAGAACATCAACCCTTTCTTCATTTGTGCAAAGAGAAGTTTTTGGTTTCTAAAAGCACTTTCGATTAGTATTGAGGGGAAACAAGCAATTGACTTAATTGACTCTGATAAGGATACTTACGTGTGCGCTCCAAGGGTTGAAATGTATGCATGCCGAAATGTTTTATCCTGCGAAAGAACAGATAAAAACAAAAGGCAATTGGGACTGGTAAGTATAAAATACAGTAACGCATGCACGGACACTGCAAGATGTTAATGAAAGAAACACATACGAAGAACCATATGATATGTACAAACATATTTATAATTAAAAAAACTGATGTACACACACAAAATGAAGTTCAATTAATCATGTGGATTGGGAAACGGCTACAAGACTTATGTTCATTTTTACAATCGTGTGAATTTCAAAAAGAACAACAACTTGGATCTAGAACTGAAGTTCACAACATTAAGAGATAATAAAGCAGAATATTTTGTTTTCCATTCAATGCGAGAATTTACCAATTCTGAGTGTACAAGAATTTGTAATATAGTTAGGTGATAAAGCTTGAAGAGGAGCCTTGGCATAACTGGTAAAGTTGCTGCCATGTGACCAGGAGGTCACTGGTTCAAGCCGTGGAAACAGTCTCTTGCAGAAATGCAGGGTAAGGCTGCGTACAATAGACCCTTGTGGTCCGGCCCTTCCCCATACCCCGCTCATAGCGGGAGCTTAGTGCACCGGGCTGCCCTTTTTAGGTGATAAAGCTTCTACAAAAGCTGAGTCAAGCAACAGTAAACATGTTGAGAACCAATTCAATTCGACCCATTCACCATCTGTGAGTCACCATGGAGAACGATTCTGTTCAACCCATTCCCTATCTGAGCCAGTGAGCCTGTCAGCACTCCCTTGTATGACTCCCCTTGGATAAACAGTTTTTCACATACCTTGGCACATGCAAACCCATTGGGGAGAACTAGCTAATCGAGATCTCCTTCCTTAACATAACTGGGACTTGTGCAATTCTACAATTCACCACTTGCTCTATATCTTCAACCAGATAATTACTCAATGTTGAAAATTCTGCTTGGAATGTCCAGTTTATCGATTCACAGTGACATGCTCACCACCTTATTTCACATGTGGAGAATGTGAACTCCCAAAACTTCTGAAAGCCATCAAGTTTATTTTGGATTTAAAACAGCAAAGCCACCTCCTGCTAAATTTCTTCTCCTCAGGGATCNGAATTCCCCACTACAAAAACTTACAAGGATTCTATGATATCAAGTATGGAGTCACTATCATTTACAGGGAATTCTTTACACCAAAAAAGAAAAAGTACTAAACAGTTCATTTTGATTTTCTGAATGGAGTTGCTAAAATCCTCAACTGCTTCGACTTAGGAGCCAACAGTGGCCCTTTCTCACATTGCTCGCTTAGTGATTCAGATCCCCAACCTCAAGGTTGAAGATGGAGGGTATTTTCATCAGCCTAGTCCTTGTCCAAACTACTTCTCCTTGTACTCCATACCTAGAGTGAATAACCTAAGAGATGAACAAGAAAGAGAGGTACTCGATGATTTACGTAGTACAACCTTCGAGATCCAGAGAAAAGCATACCAACAGTGCTTTTGCTCAATCTTGTTTTAGACACCAACAGATAGCCGTGAGTACTCATTGGTTTTTGCAATAGTTAAATAAGGAGAAAAGAAAAAAGAATTCTATGAAGTTTAATTAGTTTTCCCAAATATAAAAGAGATAATATAGAACTTCAAATAATTGCTTGCATAGCTCCATCTACAATGTTGGCCAAAACCTCTAGAAGTCTGGATAACATCCTAAGCTACAATCTAGATTCAATTCTCAATTGATCTGTCGACGATTTTATGCCAAAAACCAAACTAGAAGAGGTTGGCATTTTAATTGGCTAGGAATTGATTTTTCCAGTAACAAAAAAATCCCCGAGGGCTAGTGGTGCACGGTTCGACACTCGGAGGATAATAGGTCTGCCATTCTACCCTTCTCCACTTAATTGTGACCAAATATAAGATTGGTCAAGTTAAAATTGAACAAATGAAATAGGACTATCAAGTAGAAAAAAAAATTACACCTAAACTATGAATTAAATATTGGATAAAATTTCCTCCAGCGTTGTGTAGCCAGAGCAAACAATCCACTAAGCATTTCCCAACAACATATAAGGAGGCAAATCATCTACATCCCTACCGATGTGGGAACTCGACAATTAGTTTTTTCTTATGAAAGATTTTCTGCTGCAAATGAGCATTTAGAAGTTATTCTTTATTTTTTCTAGGGAAAAGCAAATGGCAAGTAGCAATTTTTCACCGGGCATCTAGAGCGTAGATAAAATAGCACGGGAGCCCAAACTCAGTAAATCAAGAATAAGGATGGGTCTGGCCATGGATAGAAAATGGACCTTGGGCCTAAATCGACCGTAAAAGCTAGCTCATAATATGAGAATTGTTCAGCACCATAAGGAGACAACAGTCTATTCCCTCAACCAATGTGGGATATTTAAAACTCCCCACACATGGACAACATAACATTGGGGTCCAACATTGAGTAAACAAGAATACATGTGTTTCCGCTAACACCATCTTAAGAAAATGAACCTTGAACCTAACTATCCCTCTAATACCATGTTAAGAAAATAGAAGTTGTGCCTAACTCAACCCCAAAACTTGGTTCATGAGGTGAAAATTGTCTGAATTATATAAGGATACAACAACAAATCATAAACCAATGTGTGACTATAAACGAAAGATAACTTGGCATTGTAAATTGCTATTTAAGGGAACAAATGAATACAAGCTGTTGACATACAAGTTGTCTAGCACATGTATACACATGTACTACATCATAGCTAGCACATGTATATGAGTTGTATAGTAGGTGTAATACAAGTTGTGTAGCACATGTATACACATGTACTACATCATAGCTAGCACATGTATATGAGTTGTATAGTAGGTGTAATTAGGTGTATGGCAACTAATAGATTAGGTGAATTAGTATTATAAATAGGCCTTGTAATCTTCTCTTCTAGATATGAAATATAGAACTTCTTTGGTTTCTAACATTGTATCAGAGCATTGAAGTTTTTTCATCAGTTTGTTGTTGGGAATTTTTTTTTCCCCGTTCGAATTATTTTTGTTCAGAACAGTCTTTCGCTGCTTTGATTCTATTTCACTATTTCCGGCCATTTTTTGCCCCGGCTGCTTCTTTACAAATTTTTCTACTCACTATTCCGACCAAAGTGATGACTGAAACGAAACCTACCGTTGATGTCATTCCGGTTATGTCCAAAATTACGGAGAATAAGTTCATGGGTTCCAATTACATGGATTGGAGTAAGACGATCCGTCTCTATTTGCGGAGCATTAACAAAGAGAACCACTTGGTTGATGATCCACCCAAGGATGAGACTAAATCAGTGTGGTTAAAGGAGGATGCAAAATTGTTTCTCCAAATCAAGAATTCGATGCACAGTGAGGTAAATGATCTAGTTTCTCATTGTGATTATGTGAAGGATCTAATGGATTATTTAGATTTTTTGTACTCTGGCAAAGGAAACTTGTCTCGCATGTATGATGTGTGCCAGGCATTTTACCATCCATCCATGCAAGATCGCTCTCTCACCACTTACTTCTCAGAGTTTAAGAAGGTGTATGATGAGCTTAATGTTATATTGCCGTTTAGTCCAGATGTGAAGGTACAACAGGCTCAGCGTGAACAACTGGCGGTCATGAGTTTCCTTTCTGGTCTTTCTCCCGAATTTGAAGGGGCCAAATCGCAGATTTTATCTGGGACTGCTATCTCTTCCTTGAAAGAGGCCTTTACAAGAGTGTTGCGTACTGAAAAGTCTCATCCAGGTCCGACAACCACGATCGATAGTGGTGCTCTGCTTAGCCGCGTCCAAAAGAATAAGAGTCATAGTAATCGCAATCGGAGTAGCGATAGTCGAGACCTAAAGCAAGGGGAAGTTGAATGTTTTTATTGTCATGAGCTCGGTCATACCATACGTTATTGTGTGAAGCTTCAGAATAAGAACAAAAGATCTCAGTATGCCAACATCGCCACTTCCGAGACTATTTCACCATCTCAGTCATCATCTCCTCCTATCAATACTATCCCCGAGTCAGGTAAAACCACTAAGTGTCTCCTCTCTTCGTCATCCAAATGGGTCATTGATTCTGGTGCCACAGATCATATGACAGGTAACTCTAAACTCTTTTCCACTTTTCAGTCACATACCCAATGTTCCACAGTTACTTTAGCCGATGGGTCTACCTCATATGTTTTAGGGTCTGGCACTGTTAACCCAACATCTTCTCTTTCCCTTAGTTCCGTCTTAAATTTGCCTGATTTTTCTTTCAATCTAATATCTGTCAGTAAACTTACTCGTACACTAAATTGTTGTGTCTCATGTTTTCCCAATTATTGTCTTTTTCAGGATCTTACGACGAAGCAGATTATTGGTAAAGGTTCTGAGTCTGGGGGTCTCTATGTTCTTGAATCACAGGTGCCGAAATCCATTTCTTGTTCAACTGTGTTGTCTCCCTTTGATGTACACTGTCGATTGGGTCATCCATCCTTGTCTAGTTTGAAGAAGTTATATCCTCAGTTTCAGAGTATTTCCTCTTTAGATTGTGAGTCATGTCAGTTTGCTAAACACCATCGCCTTCCTAAAGTTTCTAGAGTCAATAAACGGGTCGACTTACCTTTTGAGTTAGTTCACACCGATGTTTGGGGTCCATGTCCTATTATCTCTAAAACTGGTTTTAGATATTTTGTTACCTTTGTGGATGATCATTCTCGTGTTACTTGGTTATATTTAATGAAAAATCGTTCGGAGTTGTTTTCAATTTTTTGTGCTTTTTGTGCTGAAATAAAAACTCATTTTAATGTTTCCGTTCGTAATTTAAGAAGTGACAATGCAAAAAAATATTTTTCAGATTTGTTTAAAGATTATATGGCTACAAATGGTATTCTACATCAATCTTCTTGTGTTGACACCCCTTCTCAAAATGGGGTTGCGGAACGAAAAAATAGACATCTTCTTGAAGTAGGCCGAGCACTCCTCTTTCAAATGAAAGTGCCAAAATGTTTTTGGGCTGATGCCGTCTCTACA